AACTTGTGTAAAGAAGTGCAGCGAATAGATACGATGAACTCGCTCCMATCTGAAAAGCACTTGCATTCCTTTCAATTTCATCAAAGTAGGCTAGCAGTAACACGATTAAAACGTTAGCTAATCCATTAGCAATTCCATACGTCAGTACACCAAGAAGTCGAAGCGCAATACTGTMAACTGCCACAATGAGAAGATATGAAACAAGCCAAACTAAACCAACAAGGATGGCAGTAGGAAGGAATGAAATCTTCCTGATCAGCAAGGGACTGCACATTTTTGTGATGGTGTCTGAAGACGCAAAGAGTAGCATTAAAACAGGTGACTGTATAAAAGTGCCTGCGACAATATCTTCTGTTGCCATTTCAATGATCAACCTTGGAAGAGCTTGCAAAAAGCCATAAAAATACGCACAGACGGTGACAAAGCGAACGATRCTCATTATTCGAAGGTGTTTCTCACTAGCTACGCTCGGATAAACAACATGATATGTCTGGTTCACACTTAAAATAATAGATTTTTAAATCTAAAAATAATAATAGATAATAATAATTCTCGGTTTGCACATGACGTCATCAGTCGAAAAAATTCTAAAATCACAGACACAAAACATTGCAGCACTAAAATACCTTGAAGAGCATGATAAAAGTTCTCTCCAAAAGTTTAAACTTTTTTTGCTGTTTATTCGTTGAGTTATTGACGTTCAAAAATATGTCACGCAATACTGTCACGCGACTTGAAACGCGATAAATAAACCTGAGAAAGCGTATTAAGTTTAAAACAAGTATAGCCTCAGCATTAAATTAAAATGTTGTTGTTGTAAAACTAAAGCAAAATCATTAGTTTTGACCTCAATTCGACGCTCGGAGTTACTGTCCGCCATGTTCGTGTACTGGATTAGTACACTGTCATGGCTTTCCACACATTCCCTTGTAAAGTAAGACCGTATTCAAACAGTTTTATTTTTGCTACCAAAATTTCAGTTTGACTTCAAACTTTGCATAACTGTTGGAAATTATATGCTGTTCCTGGCCTTGGATATAAAATATTCATTTCGATCTTAAAACAAAGATTTTTGTAGGTATTTCTTGACCAGTCTAAAACGCATTGAGCCGTGATAATCCCATACATTCTTACCAATTTTCGATCGCTCGTATTTCTGTTAAAAAGCATTATTTTCGCTCGAAATTTCGTAATGTTCCTTTAATTTAGATGTTCTCTTGAGAACGATAATAATATTCCGCTAATTGTTCCTCTAAATAGCATTTTTAGAATATCACGTGATCAGTGCAAACCGAGAATAGATTTTTAAAATAGATGAATAGATAGGTTGCTACAGCAACGCCTCATTCAGACAGGAATATAATAATCCAGTTTCGAATTCTAGAATGCTCTGTGTTAGCCTGCTCATTTGTGCGCAAAATATGTCCTTAAAAGGACATTCATAACTATCAAGTAGAAAGAATGTAATATATTCTTTATATTTTTTTTCGGTCCGGTATCCTAGTCATTCGCGAGCTGTCATTGGTTAGCGCGCGGTCCGGTTTTTCACGATCTGCCCGGTCCACGGTATCCTGCAGCTAGGCTGCGAGCAAAGTTGCATAAAATACAAAAAAAATGTTATTTACCGGCTATACGTCGGTCCGTATAGGAAAACACTGCCTCGGACTTTTATGTACGGACCTCGTTGCGCTCGTTCCGTACTGTCAAGACCTCGGGCAGTGTTTTCCTATACTGACCTCCCAGCCGGTAAATAACATATATATATTCAGTACAGAACCTATTGCAACCTACTGCAATGCAAAACCTCTGTCTACAAAGAAGAGAACAATGAAAATATATGCGTGATTGAAGCTAAGATTGCACAGAATAGAMTTCGAGAACTCCTGTTGAGTCTCGTGGAACCAAGGTGAAGCTAGTTACAGAGGGTCCACAATAGGGGGTTTTCAATCCCGCAATCCCGCAAATCTTTTTTTACAATCCCGCAACCCCGTCGATTTTAATGGCGCAATCCCGATCCCGCAATTTTCTCTTAATAAATTATTAACTTAATATAACATCAATAGCATCAACAGCTTCTTTTCCGTCTAATCGTCCTCTTGCTTTGTTTGACTGTACATGTACGAAATATTTTATGYAACTACTATTTTTCTCCACTTTACATGACAAAACGTCTTTCATTTCGTGTTTGTGGTGTTCATTCTCTCAGCATTTACTTGAAAAATAGTCTTTTATTTCATTTTTCTTTACAAAGGAAGAGTTTCCACTCGCCCCTCGCACGTAGAAGAGAACCACACAATTAATTACATCTACTTGACCGCCAGTTGAGTTAGTTGAGGCCGTAAAATCGGTCTCGGAGCCAAGCACACACTGACAAAGTTTCTTAATCTCATACCAAAATCTAAAAGACATTAGGTAATTTGTCATTTATGATATAATTACATATGAAAGTAAAATATGTTGTAAAATAGCTTTTTTCCTTACTTCCACTAAATAGAGAAATTTCTTCGAATGTGTTATTTTCTTTTCATAATGGAGAAGCTTAGGTATTCTATAGATAATACTCCAGTTTCTAATTCATAGCGCAAAACCGCTGCTTTATTTGATAAGTGTTGTTTATAGAACGAGAGTACGTGTTTTATCGGGATATATATAATAGATTCSAGCCGCAGGCAATGCATGTATATCATATGTGAGAGATCTTTGCTCTTTTCAAAACTAAAGATAAGATAAAATCCTTATCTCCGCGAGACCATGTTATATCGTCTATTTGTTTATTGATATAATTAAGTATATATATTATATATCCTCATATCTTAGTCTTGTTAGATGGTTTTCATATTATCGGGGCGAGTTGTGTTTATCATTTTCGAATCAAAATGTGATCTGTTTACAGATTGTTTCAAGAGAATTTGTTATACTTGAATTTTTCCCTAAAATGAGGTTAATCCTCGATTGATCCCCTCTTGATTTTCAAGCTAAAAATYGAAGAACAAAATGTGTGACGTAATATGCTGTACAAAATGTATACAATAAAATTAAGGCTATAAATTATGAACAATGTGTACAAAAAGAAAAATGGAACTTTTTCGACTCCAAAGTCACCATCAAAATGAGCTAAAAAGTGTTAAAGTGAAAAGCTTGGCCATAAAGCACTTGTTTGTTTATTGAGGGATGATTGGTATTTTATTGCGAAACCCTCAAATATTTTTCGCAGGTGTAGATTTTGTTCCTTATAAAGAATAGACCAAGAAAACGTGTGATTTGGATTAACTTTGAGCTGGAGACCTGGCTCAGATGGATGAGAGCGATCGGAATATTCACTTGTACGAATATCTTGGTTTCCTAATGTGTCTCGCATGAGCAGAAACCATGGTAAACCACATAAGATGGATGAATGTTTTTGACTGCCGAATATTTATCAGGAGGGGGAGGGGGGAGGGGGGTTGAAAAATGAGACAAAAAAMCTAAAACGTTCATCGCTACCGACCCATCTCAATCGAAATAAATTACGTTCTGCCGTGAAGGAGACTATTGCGCAGTCAGATCCCTTAGGTAAACAAACTTCTGATTTTTCTAGTTTGCCATAAAATTAAGAAAATTTCCCATTAGTGAAAGCATTTAGCTTTTTAGTAAACTTCTTACTAGTTATTTCATTTTGGAAACAAAATGGTAATTTTATGASATCTTTTTCTTTTGGCTGTCTTCGCTAGAAGAGCTTTCAGGGTTGGCAGTATGTTTATTATCCCCTGTTTATGGTCGAATGATCATGTATGGAAAGCCAGCTTTGAGATATTTAATAAAATATAATAAATAATATAAATAATCCAGCAGATGTAATTTGTTTGATTCTGTAACTTAATCTCTCATAAATTATTCGCCAGTCACATAACACGTGCTTAAGTTTGGTGATTCTGCATAATACAATTCCCATAGTCCCTTTCGGTCGTCCAATTTTCAGCTTAACTTTTTCATTTACCAGTAGCACGCTTCTTAAAATGGTTTTATGTAAAAAAAAAATCACTAGAAAATAAAGTTTCTTTCTTTCAAAGTAACTTTGGAAGTTTCGTGAGTAAAAATTATACTGAGCGGTTCTTGTAAATAAATAATGCGAATGGAGTTTTAATTTACGAACCAATCAGTTGTCTTACAAAGGAAGTATTTCGTTAAAGAGTCATAGTCATTRGAGTTCAATAGTATAAAGTCGAACATTATGCAAACAACATACTATTTGAATACATGTATTTAATGGTCGTACATAAGATATATAGCAAATTGAAGAGAAGATGACAGATAGACTGATTCAGTGATAAAAGACCTCATAAAAAGAAGGAGAATATTAAAAAGGAATTTTACGACCATCTGGTCACAAAGAAGATGACAAATATTTCCAAATCATCGGACGCGGATTTCCAAAGACTTTTATCTGAGCTTCAATCGAGAGAGACTTCTCTGGTGTGTTTCGAAGTAGCAGTCATGTCGATGGTCATTGTTATGGCAATTTCTGGCAATCTATTAGTACTTGGAGTCAACTACAAGAATCCCAGCCTACGTAATGTAACAGGCCTCTTTATTTCATCGCTTGCTATAACGGATGTCCTAATGGCGGCGGTAATCATGCCTATCTCGGTCTCAATTCTAACAACAAGTCGGAAAGAGTTTGGTTCTGAGTTATGTAATTTCCAAGGGTACTTTATTTTGCTTATTGCTTGGACGTCACTTCATACAATGACTTTAATGGCAGTGAATCGATATTTTTGTGTTGTAAAAAAATCACTCTATCTTTTGMTTTTTACAAAACGGAAAAGCCTCTGCATGATATGTGCTGTTGTTATGTCGGCAGGTGTTTTGATTTTCTTTCCATTGGGAGCCGGTTTTGCAAGCATAGAGTTTTGGCCAGGACGAGCTTGTTGCTTCTTGACCTTCCACGACAACTTTACTCAATACAGGAGAATTTGTATTACGTTTTATTTACTTGTTTACGCAATTCTACCCATGGGAACAATTGCATTTTGCTATTATAAAGTGCATAGAACTGTATCKTTACATCGTTCAGCAGTAGTTCCAAGGTTTTCAACTGAGAATCCCATAAACATTGAAGAAGTGAGAGTAACAAAGATTATTTTCACCGTGGTTGTATGTTTTATGATTTGCTGGATACCATCGGTCGTTGTCGAAGTTTTAAACTCAGTTCTTGGCAGTCGATCTTTGCCAAGATGGTCTTACATGGTGTACATTTACATGGCTTACATTAGTTGCGCTATTAACCCCATTATCTACGGTATTTCTAACAGAAAGTTCCGTCAAATGGTTAAAGAATTGATGCCCTTTATTAAGAAAGCTCAAAGCAATCGGCAAAYGGCCTCAAAGAGAAATGAAATTGTCAAAATTGGTTATRAAATGTCAATTGTGCCTGTGAAGTCAATAAATGAACAATAAATTCAGTATATTTTAATGGGATTGCTTTGTCAGGCGAAGGAAATAGCACTCACAAATTAATARAAACATAACTAGCTCGCATATTAACAAAATTTAACAAAGAAACRCGAATAACTCAGACKCTTGTTAAAATCGAAAAATATCGTTTTGATAGCTTGGCTTCTTGTAAGCATATTATACTACTGAAAGATTCAAGTGAATCACTTAGCTTTAATGGACCATTTATGCTTTTATGATGACTTTTCGCCAAGCAGCAATGTAAGTTTATTATATAATTGCACGTTTAAGAAAATACGCTTTCTATAAATAGTGTCGTTTTGTTTTTTTTGTTTTTTTTTTCTTTGTTTTCCAGAAAGAACCGCTTGATGCGACGGCGTTCGACACAGTTATCTCTTGTTTCCTTTTCATTCTATTTAACTGTACKTTTTGTGAAAAAATAGTAGCGATAATGGCTTTCCGTCGGTCTTTTATATTAAAAATGCAAGTTGTTGGAAAACATGAACGAGTGCTAAAGATCATTCTCAAGAGGATACCTCTTGAATCAAATCAAAGCGCGCGCTCAAGAATAAATGAAAATAAATATTTTAAGTAARCYAAATAAGCCGAGCCATTATTATTTTGGTTAAGTTTATTTTTCGTATGAATATTGGATTACATGTACTGTTCTTTAGAACTCCGATGGAGCAGCGTATTCCATTACAAAACRGCTCAGAATTTAGTTACATGACGATTTGGTCAGTTGGGTGCATTGTGATAAAACAGAGAACGTGCAATTTCCCTTGATAATGTTTTCAAATSAACTCTCATTTGCCGACACAAATTTAGCACTAGATCTCACAGCTCAATTCTTTAATCCTTTCAAAAAGCTTATTTATTTGCTCTTTTCCGATAGAGATTATGTTCAAGGATGTATTTCAATACATTTGAGTAAACAATATGCTTTTTAAAACTCCGGCAAATGTTACAAAGGATATATTTTGTTTGCTAATTTGTAAATCTACTTTGCTAAGTAAATTTTGACGACGCATAGAGGTTGGCTGAGGCAGACTATAGTTTGAATAATAATTGTTTGAGACTGGGCCGATAACTCTGTCATACCGCATGCATCAAACGAGGAATTCGACATTAGGCCTCTTTGACATCAGGGCTGAGGTTTGTGTAAGTCCTGAATATATTATCAATCCAATTATCAATCCTTTACCCAAATCTAATCCAATTTTTGTCGTATATTGATATGATTTAAGATGAACTGAAATAGAGAAAATGAAATGAAATCTCCTAAAAACAACAACAACAACAACAACAACAACGAAATATTCGATGGTGATGAGCAGAAAAAGCTATTTAGCAATACGACATAACGCTTGAAAGACTTCGCCTTTGCATCGCTCCTGAAAATAAACCTGGCAGCGTTACTGGCTTCGTTTGAAAACTTCGAAAAGGCGCGCGAACTAGTTTTCCCTGAGCTGTGTACGTTCGGCCTCGGGCTTGGCGGGCCTTTTGGGGATGTAGACAGTTGTACAAATTCCTACACTCCCCGTAGTAGTCGGGAGTACTTGAACTGATTCCATGGTAACTGTCGTCCAATCAGAGGGAGTTTTGCAAAACGGTGTCCATCAAGGTCGATGAATGCTWGAGCGGATTCAGAAATTGAGTCAGAATAGCGTACAAACATGACAATTTGGCACAGTTGGAATTGAAGTCCATTGAAATATTGCCCAATTCTGGATAGAAGGATCCTAGAAACATGCCGCTGAGGGGATTTTGGAGAGGCAAAAGATGGATTTGAGATATTTTTTTGGCCTTCAAAGACGAGTAGTTTGGACGCTCTGCTCTGTAACCAGCTTTGTAGTCTCTTATGACTGATGATATGTTTTTAAAAATAGCTCTAAATCCCTTCAAAACCATACACAGCAATGTTAAATAACATCAGCAACACATGAGATTAAGGTAAGATTTATTTTATTTGAAAAAAAAAAAACAATTTTGAATCAAATCTGCTTGGGTTGCCTGTGCTTATAGCATGCTTTAAATTATAAATGTAGGAGGAGCCAACGGGTTCCTGGAGAAATATATATCTGTTGTTAATTCCCATCCAGCTGTAACACACAACCGGTTGCCAGCGAGAAATTCAGGAAAAAAGAACTCTCCAGGCAAGGAATACTTTCTAGGAATGTTTGCCAGGAAAATAAAACTGAATTTCCCAACTAAAAAAAATATAAGTCATTTTTGACCATAAAAGCGTTTTATATAAGCCTTTTTWACCTTAAAACGTTTGGCAGGAACAAAATTATTTYAAAGAAGGAAGGGCGCCACATTTGCTTGTGTGTTTGTCAACAATGTATCTCAAAATCCCTYTTCCCAGGTAAAAAATCGTACAAGAACAGTTATTTAGAAGAACAGACCCCGTCGGCTCCTTTGATATTTCAGTCTCTRTTCAATCATTTCTCTGACTGGTATGATCTGTGTCGTTCCATGTTAAATTTTYTTGCAGATAAAGGGATTGCTACCAGTGCATTTCTYCAATCTCCAAGACGTGACTTCATCGCTGTCTTTTCTCAGGTAAACRCAGTCATTRTCAATGCCTTGGTTTTGTACACTGGCTGTGTAGGTCAGAGGTGTATTGTCTGACCACTTAAGGGTGCCTTCTTTACTGATGTCGTTTAAACCGATCCACGCGCCAAACAACTTGCCATCTAAAGATAAACATTGTGAGGGGTTACTATGGTGACATTAAGAAATCCGTTCTCCGGGAAAAGCAGCCATTACCTTTAAGAGATTTTATTTCTGCCTGTGCCAAAGCATGAGGTAGAATAACAATATCACTCAACCATCCCTTGTAAAGCTGTCCGCCATTTTTGTTACCAACTTGAAATGTATTGAAACCACTGTCTCGAAGGTCTACATTTTCAAGAGTTATCACTTCGGACTTTTTGAAGATTGAATCAATAAAGAGATTGAATCGTTTGGTTGAACGAGACCATGTGACCGCCACGTGATTCCACTGGCTGAGAGGCATTTGGCTAAATCAAACGATTATATTTTTAGATTATTCCATGCATAAGTTCATRATTGTGGGATTTACTAGCCTGAGTATAAGGCTCTCTCGAATGGTAGRGCTTTACCAATAGTTGTGGCTTAGTGCCTTATTGTATCATCAAAGAAAACTCGTAAAATAATAAGGTGTATTGCAGGGAATTCTATGGGGCAACCGACATCAAATTAGGATATTTCACTAGTTTACAAATTAATATTTTTCTTTCAAAAAACATGATTTATTGATTTATAATTTGTTTTTAAACCACCAAGCAAATTTTTCTCAATTTGCTATTAACCCAAAACTTATGCACTAGTCAATTGAAACCCCCGCCCCCCGACCYCCGGGGAATACCGGGGAATTTAAYGTTTGAGTGGTGTTAAAATAAGACATTTYCCCCGRTAGTCGGGGCACATTCATTGTCAAAATCCCCGCTACTGTTGCCCCGTTATTTTGGTCTAGTAGTGAAAAAAAAAAAAGAACACCTTTCAATCAAATTTTCTGTGATACACATGGTGAATTTTTGTATAATTCTGTGTACTCATTTGCGTACCACATGAGGCTAACTGGACGGAGAAAAACAGTGTGAAATGAGTTTTTTTTTTTTCTTGCAAGGAAAAATAAACATTTACAAAATCGGGGTTGAATACCAATGCCTTCAKGGTATTTCTGAAGATGGCCAACCTCTAGTTTCCAGCCTCATACATGTTCAAAAGAGCGTTAAAATCCCCTCTCTTTGCCCCACTTCGAAACCAATTCATCAAAATCCCGACCCCCCAGGGCAATCTTGCTGTTAAAAGCACGTTAAAAACGCGTCACATCCCCGTTCAGTGCCCTGCTAGCCCCGGAGGGCGGGGGGCGGGGGTTTCAATTGACTAGTGCATTACCTTGATGGAAGTCCTATTTCAAATAGGTCACCAAAGATATTAAAGAACGAACAAGMCATCCCACCAWAGTACACGTAAATTGCAAACATCCTGTTTGAGCTTTGTCTTTCATCATTGAAAAAACTGAAAAATCCATAGGATGCTTGCGGGTTYTTGAACCAAAAAGCAATCGTGAAATCGGTACTATGAAAATTAACACTTGGGACTGTTGCCTGGTCATCTCTACCATCAAAGTACAAAGATCTTCGGTTGTTTTCGGTTTCAATTAGTGCGTCATTAATCAAACTGAAACGTAAGGAAGTCATGATTGAAAAAAAAAAACAGTGCCTTGTCTTTGATCTGTTGCTGGAGTGTAGGTTTCCCTCCACAAGGCAGCCGTTGTTTATAGTTTAGAAGTATTTGGGTAATCGGACTCTATTGTTAAGGGGGGTGCTGTTTTTTGTGTGTTGTGGAGTGGTGATTTTGTGTAAGAAATATACATGTATATTAAATACAAATGGATTGATCCTGGTGTCATGGTAGACCCAGTTTAACATTACTCATCAGCTCAACCCTCAGCTCTAAGGCCTTGGAGTATGAAACACGTTTGTCATCCACCATAATGACAACAGTTTATCATCTCAGCCCCTGATGAGTAATGTTGAACTGGGTCTACCATGACACCAGGATCAATCCATATACATGTATATTTCTTASACAAAATCACCACTCCACAACACACAAAAAACAGCAMCCCCCTTAACAATAGAGTCCGATTACCCAAATACTTCTAATCTATTGCCGATGGTGATCTTGATGATCAAGTTTTGATACGTCATGCTGCTCATCTTAGTCAATCCTATGAACGTTGTCTTCTTCCAGGAATCTAAAAAGGTTATTTATGCAAATGACTTTGCTGTTGTCTTTATGTCTTTATACTTTAGAAAATTAAAGCGACCATTTCTGTAATATATATGGGTTCCATTTTTTTTTGTCGGGAGTTGAAAATGTTCATATTGTAGTATTTTTCACTATTACACTCTGGAAAATATTCTAACTAGTCATGACATTTCAA